TCATGCCTTCGATGTGGTCTTCTGCACGGATCAGGCATACCTGTGGGCGGAGTTAATTAGCATCTCTGCATTGTCATGGATGGATCATTTCCTGATTACGGTTGGACTGAAGGCCACCATCCCTTTCTCTTGGGGTGGAGAACCGATTAGAATGGTCCGCCCTCGAAGGCTGAAGGTGATTCTGTTGAAACTCTGGTTAATATGTGGAATAACAACCTTACCAGAGCTGTAGACACAATCATTCCCAAGCGTCGTTTCCAACCTGCAAAAAATCGTAATCCATGGTACACCGAAAGCAAATGAAGCGGGTTGGACAATGACTAGAGCACCGTTGGCTGGAATCTCAACTCTTATCTGATAAGACAGTTCACTGGACTTTTCTTAGGTCCTATCAAATGGCGATAGATGCAGCGAAGAAATCTTTCTATTCTGCATCTATCGCATCTGTGAAATCCCGTCCAGCTGAGCTGTTCAGGATGGTGAGGAATTTAACTCTGTTGCCTCCCACCCAGAACCCTCTATTACAGGAGTAGGCAACCTTTCCCCTTTAAGGGCCGAGGGACTTCAGCTCCCAGAATCCCAGGAGCTATAGGCCAACATGGGACTATTGGCCAACATGGCTGAGGCTTCTGGGAGCTGAAGTCCCTCCTTGGCCCTTAAAGGGGAAAAAAGTTTACCTACCCCTTCTCTATTAGAACCAACTACAGCTTGCTGTGAGGCTTTTAATCAGGGGTAGGCAACCTTTCCCCTTTAAGGGCCGAGGGACTTCAGCTCCCAGAATCCCAGGAGCTATTGGCCAACATGGGACTATTGGCCAACATGGCTGAGGCTTCTGGGAGCTGAAGTCCCTCGGCTCTTAAAAGGGAAAGGTTGCCTACCCCTGCCCTAAAGGCACCAGATCCTGCCTGATCCTGGAAATTAACCAGGGCCAGCCCTGGTTAATACTTGGGTGAGAGATCATCCAATGAAAACTGAATGCTGTAGGCTCTATTTCAGAGGAAGGGACCAACAAAACCACCTCTGAGAAAACCTTATGAAATTCTTAGGGTTACCATAGGTTGACATAAGGCTTGAAGGCCCATAAACACAAAGAGATAGGTGGCATTTTGTGCATTCTGGTTCTGAAATGTGTTCAAAAGGTGGGTTTAAAACGGGAGCTGCTCAGTGCTGTTTGCAAATTGATCCCACAGAGGGTGCTGCAAGCAATGTAAGGAATGATCCGGTCATTCCTGGCAACCGGGAGAGGATGCCGAACTCCAGCCGAAAACAAAAAATACGATTAGCGCCATAAGGGAGGTTTGTTGTGTGAATGTGTGGACCTGGGTCCCTTGGTGTGTGACCCCCTTGCAAGGAAGAGCCTGAAATCATTTCAGACTGCAGATGAAAAGGAAACGGATGTGGTTGCTCCCTTCTTAGGAAAATGGCCTTTCTAACTGCCTTTAAAAGGCTTATGTAAAGGATTGTACAGTATTTTTCCATTTAGAGAAAGGGATTATGACTCACTGTGATAAGAGGCAAGATTTGCTGAGTCACACTGTCTGGAGTTGTTTTCTTAGATCTCTTGTTCCCCGGTGGCAATGGTGGTGATGATGTATTAGAACAAGATCCTAAAGCCTCTTTCAAAAGTGCCCTAGTGGTATCAAATGCAAGGACACCAGAAGAGAGTGGCTTTACAGGGAGAGCTTCCTAGCTGGTATGGCAAGCGGAACACTGCAGAAATAATCCAGTTTGAGACTGCCTTGGCTCAGTGCTAGGAAATCCTGGGAATTGTAGTTTTATTGTGGCAACAGAGCTCTGACAAAGAAGGCTAAATGTCTCACAAAACTACAGTTCTCTAGCACAGAGCCAAGGTAGTGAAAAGGTCTCAAATTGGATTATTTCTGCAGTGTGTTTTGGACCTTTGAGAGTAGTCTGTAGTTTCCTACAATAATAACAGAAATGTCATTTCTTGAAGAAGAGGCACTTCCCAGTGGGGGATTTAGAGTTGTATATTGCTGTGTTTGTGTAATGATAGTTGTACTTTTCCTTGGGTGATTGATTTGAACTAGCAACATTGGGAATGGAGAATCTGTGTGTGTGTTTGTGTTTGTGCCTTCAAGTCACCTGTTGAAATTATTATTATTATTATTATTATTATTATTATTATTATTATTATTATTATTATTATTATTTATATCATGCTCTTTCCCCAGAACTGGGACCCAGAGTGGCTTACAACATTAAAAGACTTAAAGTGTGTGTGTAAATTGCCCTTGAGTCAGCAGGTTACCCCTGAATTTCATGGAGTTTTATTGGGCAAGAAATACTCAGAGGTGGTTTTGCCAGTCCCTTCCTTTGAAATACAGGCTACACCTTGTGGCATTCATTGGTGGTCTCCCATCCAAGTACTAATCAGGGCTGACCCGACTTAATTTCTAAGGATCATGGAGGCAGACACATCATATATTGCTGTCTTTCTTTTGCTCAGTCTCAAAAGCACATACCTATATAGTTATGGTTTTGAATGCTGATTACTCACAGATGCTATGTCTGAAAATGCCCATTTACTACTGCATGCTACAGCTATTAAATAGGATTGAAAAACTGCGGTAGTTTGAGCCTGTCCTGTCTGGAGGAACCTAAAATATGGGTATTCCTAGCCAATGTCATTCTTACGTTGCTAATGTGGATGTGGCTAATGATGAGATTTATGAACCTAGATGCTTCTGTAGTTCTGCTCAATAAAACTAGTTTGATAAAAGCTGTAAGCTTTTCTGTATTATCACATCCTGATTTTTTTCCTAACACTTGTAATGAGATTCAGGATACACACACACACACACATCCCCTTATTGTTTGCCTATACAGGCCTTTTTCATAATCGTATTTTCTGAGAGCATAGTGAGGGTCTGCGTTAGTAAAGATTTAAATGCTGCTTAAAATACGTATGGCAAACATAGAACTGAGCGTAGATTTCTCTTTCCTTTGGGATCACTTGGGGTCACTGCTTCAGGACTTCAGGACTTGAAACAGTATCTGTTCTGCTGGTGTTAATGGAAATACAATAGCCTGGCCATATTTTGCAATAGGATTTCAAAAGTGTTATCTAATCCTATTTTAAGACATTCTTTAGGAAGCCATGGAGTGCGACAGTCCTCATGCAAGATTGCTTTGTCTCTTTTTCCTCTCCAGAGTTTTCTGAGTGGCAAATACATTTGTTAACCCTGGCGTTTAAGGAAGGAGAAGATGAAAGACATCGATTTAGGAAAAGAGTATGTTATACCCAGTCCTGGGTATAGAAATGGGAGGCAGAGAGTCAGCCCGATCCAACATGAAGAACAAGAAGGGCTGAACCCCCGACAAGATAAAAACAAGGTTAGGAGTTGTGGGTATCTTTTAGGAAACCTGGGTGGCGACTTACTGAATTACTTAATATGACAGACCTAATTTTATTGTGACAATTTTGTCCATAATGATCCTTCACTGTATGGATATAGTAGAGTCTGATTCGTGCTTGGGATGATGATCATTAGAAAGGACACAGTGTACATTAGTAATTGGTTGGTAAGGAACTGTGCCTGGGGAGAGACTCAGCATCTGACAATAAACATTCAGATGACATTGGTTGCCCTGTGAACAGACAAAAATGAAGCTAAAAGGGAGAAGGGGAATTAGCATGATCAACAAGGTTATACACATTTTAGTTTAGTATGTATTTGCTGACCTTTGTTTTTAATAGCTTGTTGAGGCATAATTTCCTCACATGCATTTTCATATTGGATCAGTAATGCCACCTATTTTTATATCTGATGTTCAACACTGGATTTTTATTACAATAGGTGAACATGATGCTTTAACAGTGCTACTATCAAAAAATAAAGACAATTTGTAGTCATGAAAATTCAGTATCAAAAAAGATGATATTAATGAAAAAAGAGGATAGTAATATAGCAAGTAAATTCAGCTTTAAAAATACAGGAAAATAAAAGAAAGGGTTAACTATGGGCATGAAGCCAGCAACAAAGTGGCCTAGTGGGCTTCCATGAAAAGATGATTCCACAGTTGTATTGATGCCACCACACCAGCTCCATTATATTTTACTTCATACTGTAAGGAAAGCTGGGAGGGAATGCAATATTGGATTTCAGAGGGTTCCCTGCAGGTTCCTAGGATTAAATTAATAGTCATCACTGGCATAATTAGGTTGCATTTTGGGATTGATGCATGCTTTTTGATGAAGGATAAGAAGCTGTCTCATCTGGAAGAGGCTGAAAGTCTGTCTCTGCCAACTAGGATCCCAGTTGCCTGGTAGCAACTCTCTGTACTCTTTCCCAACCCTTATTCCCTGAAATATTAAATGAAGATACTATCTGTTCAGTCTGGGGCCCCTTAGCCTTTATGCTCTTCCACTTAGCTGGATTCTTCTGGATCACTGATTTCCAAACTTTGGTTCTCCAGGTGTTTTGGACTTCAACTTCCAAAAGCCCCAGCCACCTTGGCCAACAATCAGGAATTTTGAGAGATGAAGTCCAAAACAACTGGAGGACCAAAGTTTAGGAACCACTGCTCTAAGTGGTGTAGCTTTTTTTTTTTTTTGCTACCAAGAACTCTTTGAACAATCTATGCATATCTGGAATAAATGATCTGGTTTGCTTATATTTTGTAGCATCAGTATACTGAAAATACTGTGGATTCACCTGCAATTAATTATGTGTGTATTTGTAGAAAGATACAGACGTATGGCTCTTACTGTGGCAGGTGATTTAAACAACTCTGAGATGGAAATCTTATTCAGTACTCTTAGGATTATAGTAAATGCTTATAGTGGATGCTGTCATCACTGCATATTCAAAGTTTTCACTGTGACAAAATGTATTAGGAATCTCTTATCATCAACATGAGAGCCAGTGTAGCGTAGTGGTTTGAACATTGGACTACAATTCTGGAGACCAGGGTTCGATTCCCCGGTCAGCCATTAAACCCACTGGGTGACCTGGAGCACATCACAGTCTCTCAGCTTCAGGGGAAGGCAATGGCAAACCTCCTTTGAACAAATCGTGCTAAGAAATCCCCATGATAGGTCAGAAATGATTTGAAGGCACACCAACCAACCAGCATGAAAATAAGGATTTCTGAGGTTCTGATACATCTGTTTAGGGATGGGACTGAGCAACTGCCTGGAGTTGGAGGGCTGTATTAGTTTGCCCCGGGGGACCTGATTAAATTTTGTATAGACCAGTGAATGTAGGTTGTTGTTTTTTTGGTGGGGAGGAATGCAATTATTTAAAAAATGGCACGACCTGCTAATAACTTATGAAGATATTTTGCTTTGCAAACCAAGCATTGGCAAATTTTCCAAAGCAAAACTGAAGAAGTTCATTTCCCCAGATTCTGAATTAATGATTTTTTTGAATAGTATTAAAAACTAAGGCAACAAACATTATACATTATGCTGGCTCTATTTCTGTTGAGCTTCCAGCAGTTGGCTAACATGATATTGACATTTGGCTTTTAAAACTTGTATTTTAACATTGTTTTCATTAATACAGTTATACAGTTGCCCCTCCCTTCTGCAGTTTTGAATATTCATGGAGAGGCAACCTGTGGGTTTGAATATCAGCAAGTTTCTGTTTTCGTGGGGTGTGTGTGTCTGGAATGGATCCCCTGCGAAAACAGAGGGCCAACTGTATGTCTTGCTGTACATCGCTTCATGAGTCCAGGTGGGCATGGAAGCACTTCACAAATATGTTTAAATAAATAGTTATATATAATAGTTATATATAATCCTGCAATTAAATGCAAAAGAAGCAGGGTTTTTGGATTCACTCTTCTGAAAGACTAGTTCCAGGTAGATGCTCCTTCCCAGAATTGTCATCAGGCAGCAGCTATTGCATTAGACTATAGTGGAAGAAGAGTTGGGAAGCAAGATCCATCTATCCTCTTTTGAGAGACTAGGTTCATATGGCTTATCTGAACTGTTGTAATTCCACTTAGTTACTTAGAATTACAACTAAATTTTAAAGAAACAATACAAGTTTGGTGCTGGACTCTATTTCTTTTCAACTTCTTGCTTTCTATTTTACTGTTAGGTCTTTTGGCTTGTAAACCTGTGTGAAGCTGTCTTGTTTCTTACTGATTTAATGTCCATTTTTCAGAGTGCAGAATGGTCAGAAATGCTTTCAAAGAATAAAATGAAAGGTGAGACTGTCTAGGTGTTCACCTCAAGGACAGAGTACAGTGGGCCCTCCACATTTGCTAGAATTAGGGGCACCAGACCCTGATGAAAATAAAAAAAAAAATGCAAATAAAAAACACTTTTTTTAACCTGAGAGAACACTTCACTAGATATTTGTAGTCCTCCAGTGTAACTCTATGACCAATATCTGCCAGAAGCTGACCATAGAATTGCACTGAAGGACCTACATATTCCTATAGAAGTGTTCTCTCTATGAATCTGTAGGTTCCCTAGCGCGACTTCTGGTGGAAATAGACCATAGAGCAGGGGTTGGCAACTTTTTTTTGCCATGGGCCGGAAATGGCACTGGGGGGCCATTTTGTGCGCGCGTGGGGCGCCGGCAGACAAAATAGTAACAGTCCAGCTTTGTGTGGCAAAAACAAACAAAAGTCATATGGTAACTTTTTAAAGGCTAACATGGTTATTGTGATACATATGATTTGACAGGTGATATATATTCACGCATGTCCATGGGCAGGAATTTTGCATTTGACAAAGAAGCAAGTCTGTCCCACAAAGTCTTATCTATTTCTATCCTGCCTTTTCCCCTGATTGGGACTCAAAACATCTTACAGTGATTAAAAAAAAAATAATTAAAAATCCACAAGATACAAATGTTAAAATGCATTTAAACAATCAGAAAAAATTCAAAATCAGGTTAAAACATGTATCATTAAAACACACATATACCAGTGCAACATTTAGCAATAACCATTGCATTGTGTAAGATGGACCTTATATAATCACTCCTCAAATGCCCGTCGGAATAGAAAGTTCTTTGTCTGTGAAAAGAAAATAGGGAGGGTGCCAGTCTGACTTCTCTGGGAAGGGAATTCCAGAGCTGGGAGGAAGCCACTGAGAGGGGCTTCTCCTATGTTTCCACCAGATGTACGTGTGAGGGTAGTGGGACAAAGAGACGGGCTTTCCCGGCAGTTCTCCAAGCACAGGCTGGAGGAGGACAGTGTCCTTTAAATAACCTGGACCTGAGCCATTCGGGGCTTTAAAGGTCATACCAAGCACTTGGGATTGTGCCCAGAAGCGGGGTGGCAGCCGGTGGAGCTGTTGCAACAAGGGACTTGTGTGGTCCCTGTAGTCAGGACTTGTTAGTAATCTGGCTGCAGCTCTTTGGACCAGTAGAAGTTTCTGAACACCTTCAAAGGCAACCCCACTTAGAGTTTGTTGAGGCACCAGAGCTCTCTGACAGAGAAGGCTACATGTCTCACAAAACTACAAACCTCAGCATTCTTCCACAGCATTGAGCCAGGGGAGTTAAAGTGGTGTCAGACTGTTTTATTTCTGAAATGTGGCAGTAGCCTTGGTCATAGAAGGAGCAGCGATTTTCTCTTACTCACTGAGCTGCAGTCTCCCTCTAAGTGATATGGTAGTGAGTATTGGGCCCTACTAGCCTAGTCCTCTATACCACCCAGCACTCCTGAGGAACAGCCACCTCTTGTTCCCTTCTGGACCTTTTAAGTCCAGTTCTCTTGCAAAGTGATAGGATGACAAAGGAGGTTGAGTCTTCCACAGGGACAGATAAGGAGAGCAGTTGGAGGAAGCAGCAAGTTGCTCAGTCCTTCCTGCTGAGGAAAGCTGAGCAATTTGTGGTGACAGCACCTGTGCTTTAAAAAAGCAGCAGCCTATCTTTTCTGGTTCTCCAAATCTTTCCTTATATATCAATGGTTCCCAAACTTTGGTCCTCCAGACGTTTTAGACCTCAGATCCCAGAATTCCTGACTGTTGGCCAAGCTTGCTAAGGCTTGTGGGAGTTCAAGTCCAAAACACCCAGAGAGCCAAGGTTTGGGAACCACTGCTATATAGCATGCTTCTGAGGGAGGGTAGGGAAGTGTGCATGCCTGAGAAAACAGTGGATTCTCCTACTTCCCATCCTTGCCTTATCCTTTCAGGCCGCATGGATTGGATTTGGGGTGGTCCTGATTAAGAGAGTACAAATAGCCTCTTTTGTATATTTGCTCTTATTTCGTTGAGGGTTGTACTATATACGATTAGTTATGGATGGTGCAGCCAACTCATCCTCTTATGTAGTCACCTAAATTCTCAGCACAGTAATAGGGATTCAACTGACTGAACCAGATTTTCTTTTGTGCTATCCAGAGAGAATCAAAGGAGCTCCTGGTTCTGCTGCTTGTTCTCTGTGTTTCTGCAGCTTTCTTGGCAGTAAGGATTGGGGAGTGATGGTTCCTACGGTCCATGATTGCTCACCTGCTTTCATAGAGTCATAGAGGTGGAAATCCAGTCTGACCCCTTTTTGCCTTGCAGGAATGCACAATCCAAGCACTCCTGACAGATGGCCATCCAGACTGTTTAAAAACCTCAAAGCAGGAAACTCCACCACTCTCCAGCATATGTCACTGTCAAATAATCTTTATTGTCAGGATGTTCTTCCTCATGTTTAGGTGGAATCACTTTACCTGTGGTTTGAATCCTTTGCCCCATGTCCTAGTCTCTGGAGCATCAGAAAACAAGCATGCTCCATTCTCAATATGACATCCCTGCAAATATTTAAACATTTCTTGCTTTGCAGCACTCTGTAAAAGCCATAAACCTAATCATGTTCTCTCTTTGGGCAATGCAGTAGGAAGATCTGGCCTAGTGGGATCTGCTTAGGAGAGCTGCTCTTACTCAAAGAGAGAGCAGACCCCACTGTATCCAGGAAATCAGTTGTGAAATGGAAAGTTATCTATGTGACAGGAGGAAACAGTTCCATTTTCAGAAAAGCTCTGCCAGACATAGTATATTTGAAAAGCAAAATCAGTGAGCCCTTCCATGAGTATGAAGGGGCAGATTTGCTCAAAACTAAAAGAGCTATAGCCCAAAATGGTAAGCTCATTCTTTTGTTCCAGTCAGTTTTGAGATGGATTGAAATGGGGGGTGCTGAGAGAATTTATCCATTTGGTGAGCCTGAACATCCTCTTCTTTTTCTTCTATCCTGAAATCCTGATCTTTTGCGTGAAGAGCTGAACTTAGGCTGGTAGTTGTGCTGGGAACAAACACCGAGTCTTGACATTTGCTTCTCCCACACTTGGTGATGTTTGCATTCAGAGTGACTCACTGGTAGCTCTTACTTGCCTGAAATAAGTCAGGAAATCAGTCTTGCCATTTGGAAAGACCTTGGGACATGATGAATAGCTAAGGGAGAAGAAGTATGCAACACCAGTGGCAAAAAGGCAAATTCCATATTTAAAACTATTGGGGGAAAAAGATAAAATAAAACCCCTGCTGTTGTCATCTTGTTGCACATGTCTGTTAGAGCTGAATTTGAAATACAATTGGCCCTCCACATTTGCTATTTTGACTTTTGAGGATTTGATTATTTGTGCTTTTTATTAATAGGTTCTCTCTAGGAATCTCTACATCCTCCAGCACAACTCGGCCAGAAGCTGACCATAGATTTGTGTTGAGAACCTAGATGTTCCTAGAGAAAACACTTTTCTAAGCATTTGTAGGTTCTCCAGCATGATCCTATGATCACCTTCTGGCCGATGTTGACCATAGAGCTGTACTGGAGGACCTGGAGATTCCTAGAGAGGTGTTCTCTCAGGTAAAAAGAATAATTTTTGTTTATTTGCATTTGCTCCCACATTCACAAGGTGAGGGTTGGTGTCCTTTACCCCTAACCGCAGTGAATGTGGAGAGACCACTGTACTGCATAGTGTCCAGTTGCCTAGCTTCAGATAAACAGACTATGGAACTAGAAGACAGCAACCAAATTGATGAAATGG